TATTTCCTCCCTCCTGCTGCCCCCCCAAGGCTGCCCCATGATGCACAGCGCTCTCCCCTAGCAAACATGGTTCGTTTGAGGCCCTCACTTCTCCCTGCCTTCTCACAATACCAAGATAAAACATGGTATAACTGGATTGGTATATGTACATTTTAAAAAGAGAGGAAAAAGAGACTATGAGATATATTGAGTTATGGTAACCTAGATGGTGCTCACGATCACATCACTTGGAGGAGTCATTTTCATTCAATCCCAGCTCAGATACAGAACTGGGCTACAATGTCCAAAATGCTTTTCTCTTGAACAGCTAGCAAGAGACTAAGGTAATCAGCCTCTCTCCTGCCCCGCTATTCTTTAATGAATGGGGAAGTATCCATATCTATAAAGGGAATAGGGAATGGCCTTGAAAGACAGGAGGAAGAGCTCCTACCAAGGCAACAATCCCCTCCCTGGTTCACATGAAGATAAAGTGAGGGAGGGCAAGAAGCACATTGAGACCTGCAAGATTCTGTTATAATAAAATAAGTCTTGAGGTATATGGCATTGTCTTCTTAGTCTGGTCTAATTTTGGGGCTGGCAATATCTCAGAGCTTTCTATAACAAAGGTAGTGCAAAAGCATAATTGCTATTCTTTTGGTATGTTACAGAATCTTCCTTCCAAAGGTTGGAAAGGAGGGCATTACCAGGGGCAAGTGTAAAAGCTCTTCTAGTGTTTTTAGGGGCTATATTTTACAGAAAATGCTCATAATGCTCATTATTATTTGAAATTATCAGGTGAATTAACAATTTCCATGAAGTTGTTAAACCAGATCCATTAATTATAATCACAAACTGTGTTTTTCTCCAGCATATTGTACTTCTTCCTTCACTCTCATTTATTGGGCCTTAACAAATGGAAAACAGGAGTAGCTATTACTGTAATAATGAAAACAAAGACTATAAAAAGAAGACATGCAATATATTTTCTTTTTCATTCTCCAATAAAAATATAGTATAATGGATTTGAGTTAGAGGAAGATAGAGTCTGATTTCATTTTCAAAAAGAACTTCTAAGTATAGACGTTCAGTAGTGGGAACTGATGAGGAGAACAGCAATGACCTTTATTTTACTGGATGTGTTCAAGTGGAGTCAGAATAGAATAGCTATCTGTGGGGGCAGCTGGAACTTGAAATCCTGCACTGAAGAGGGGGCTGGTTTTGATGGCCTAAATGTCCATTTTGAACTGTATGATTCTCTCCTCCCAAGGAAGTATGTATGTCTGGCCAGAGAGGACTCAGAGTAACATCCTGCCATGGTCCTCTCTTCATAAAGGAGATAAAAACAGCTTCACTCCCTCCCCTGTTTCTTTCATAACCTTCCTAGAAGCATACAAAGCTGTTCTCTTTCTGCTCTTTTCATGTGCTATAAAACTTTGCTTCTATAGTTGTGAATATCTGCCTATAGAAGTGTAATTGAGCCTCAATAGAAGCACCATGAAGAGGTGGTTGCACTAGACCTAAAAGAATGGGAACATTTTAGCATCTTGAAATTTTGGGGGAGAAGGGATGTCTCACTAATATTATCAGTCCTTTCTCCTCCATTCGTGGTTTGCATGAGAACATCTTCATCAGAGAATGCCTTGCAAAGTAGGCATGATGGTACTTTGAGCAATCAAAGAGTGTGTCTCACTGTTGTTGTTTTCCCCAGAGGCCAGAATCTTATGGAATCTAAGATTGCTATGGTTAATTGAAGCTTTTTAATCGAACTAAATGAAAATGTTCCAATCAAAGCATCTAGAACAAAAGGCTGCCAAGTCTCTGGAGCAACACATCATGTGGAAGGAGTGAATCACCTCTTTCCCTTTACTTACAGAATAAACATTATGGCAGTTAACTTGATGGACAGAAGCATATTCTAAAGGATATGCTTATAATTTTGTAGAATGCTTTTTATAATTTTAATATGAGCATACAAATATTTTACTTGGGTAAATCATTACTACATTTCATTTTTAGACCAAATCTTAATGTTCTTAGAGAATTCTTGTTGATATTAATGGACAGACATTGCAACTACAGGTATGGTGAAGGTTTCTGGATTCCTCTGCTTAAGATCTTACCTGCCACAACACTTGATTCTGAAACTGTTGCCTTCCTTTTTTCACTGATGTTCTTTGCCTGGACCTGGATAAATACAGAGATTGCAAAGCATGTGCCACAGCATAGACTGCATTGTAAATATTGTA